GATAGATAGATAGATAGATAGATAGATAGATAGATAGATAGATAGATGATAGATAAACAGACACTAGAGAGAGAGAGAGAGAGAGAGAGAGAGAGAGAGAGAGAGAGAGAGAGATACTGAATACCCATTGACCTTTTTCATTCTCCTTTGGACATGGCTGAATTATAGCATGGTCAAGCTGAGTAGCTGGTTTCATAGCTTTCCCTGAAATGCCAGGGCAGCTCTTGCACTTTGCAGGAGTTAGGTGCTGGGAGGGACAGCCTTTGGGATGCAAGTCAGAGTTACAGATCTCACACCAAAAAACCTGTTGGAAAGCAGTCAAAGGCAAGGCCTAAGTTTTAAGTCGGAAGTCCACTCCTGGAAACACCATTTTATCTTTGGTGAAATCATCCTTCAAGGCTTTGCCTTGGCGTTACAATTCTGTTGATTGTTTGGATATAAAACAAACAGAAAGTAGCTAAATAAAGGGATGGGCTTCTCCTAGTTCCCCAAACCTAGTGTAGTCTAGGAAACTTCAGGAGACTGGATCCAAGACACTCTTCAGTGTGGAAAATATTTTTAAAGTTCTCTTTGATTGCCAAACATAATTATTTTGAATAAAAAAGTATTTGGGACATTTTTAATGAACAGAAAGCCTGTCATTGGCTGCTCTAAACTGAAGTTGGATTTCAAACAAATCTTAAAATGCACCTATTTAAGGGCTGGGGTCCTTATCCTGCCCTTTATGATATTTGATGGAAAGGGGAACATTTAAAATTGTTTTTTTTTCTTTATATGCTCTTAGAGTTCTAGTTTCTTATTCATGGGACGTCTTCCTCAGTACTTGAGATGAAGGCATGTGAACACCCCTCCCTTCCTCCAGGCCAGGGCATCCCCTGGGTTTTGACCACCTCAAGCTCAAACAAGATTTGTACTTCAATCAGAAAAAATTCCCGAACTCTATGGGAAAAATTAAATCCATTCTCACCTAAAGAACCAAGTCATATTACAGCCTAGAAGACCACCTCATGGGAAGTGTGGCCCAGAAAAACAGGATTTAAAGACATTCCTCTATGGTGTCCCTCTGCATTACCTAATCCTAACCCTGAGTCAGTGTCCACAAGGGCACACCTGATGTTGCCGGCCTAGAACATGAAATCTAATCACACACACCCCCACCTGCTTGAATTGTGCCCAAAGCTGGTATTCTGTCCTGCTGTGAGCCAACATGCCTACATCCCTTCTGCTAAGAACTGGCTTTCATTTTCTTTTGGGAGAAGAGGCTTAGAAATGTATTCACCCAACAGTGTTGACCACCCACCACCCACCTCCTTCCCCAGCTTCTTCATTACTCTATTGGAAGGAGGATCAAATATCAGAAGGAAATAAAAGGTTTGTGGGAGCCCTCTTTTCCTCAGCTGCTTGACCGCATCCTGGGGGAAGTAAAGAGAGATTGAGTATCACCCTCCTGGGTCCTTAGCAACAGCCGTCTGCACCCACTCTTCCTCAAGGCTGAGAGTCTCAAGGGAATGGGCTATGATCAGAGGGTGGAGTCCAGCCTTAGCCAAGGAAACAGCTGGACAGGAGTGACTGCTGCTCCAGAGAGTGGCAGATTAACTTGGCATAGGACAACACAGGAACTGGCCACAGGCAGAGGTGGTAACTCGGCCTTGGTGGCTGAGGAGTTCTGGGTGCAGGTGCCAGGACACAGACCATGAGCTCAATGGAGACATGGCCACGTGGAGAAACAGAACAACCTCTCAGAACAGATACAGAAGGACTCTAGCAGACCCGAGCATGGCACTGGCTGGCCTTGTCGTCCCCCTTTCCTGTCCCTCACCAAACCGTAGATTACATCCCTAAAGCTAGCCGCAAAGGTCTATTCCCTTATTTGACCACTTCCTCCTCCTGAGGATGACTATGAGGTCCAGGTACCAAAGTACTGAAGTCCAACCATCAAACGCCCTCCTTTTGGTTACCCTAATTAACATGCCCAATCCAAACAAACCAACTCATCCTAACATGGGGTTTCTTCTTCTCCCTTTATAAACTGCTGTTTGCCTATGGGCCATGTCTGCCTCCACTTTATCCAGAGGCAATTTGTCCCTCTGGGGCAAAACTCCCTTCCCTTTTTCTCCCCTCTCCCATGCCTTCCATTCCATCTTTGTCCCTCTGGTGCAAATAAATCTTCTGTGCTGAGAACTTGGTTTTGGTGTATCCTGTGCAAACTCAGGCCCTTTCAGAAACCATCACTGCAGTGACCTGGACTCAATGCAATGGCCCTGCTAGGCCAAGAGGACCAATGCCCTGAAGTCTGCTATGGAGTGGTCCCTTACATCTGAGGGTCACTTTCAACTAGTTCTTTTCCAGGGCCACACTGTAGTAAGGAGAGCGGCGGGCTGCGTCCCACCACCCAGCTAACTTAACCCCTGAAATAATTACACAGAAACTTTCTTCATTTAAACACTGCCTGGCCCATTATATCTAGCCTCTTCTTGGCTAACTCTCACATCTTGCTTTAACCCATATCTAGTAATCTGTGTATCACCACGGGGTTGTGGCTTACCAGGAAGATTCTAACCTACGTCCATCTCAGGCTGGAGAATCATGGTGTCTGCCACACTTCCCTTCTTCCCAGCATTTTGTTCTGTCTACTCCACCAACCTAAGAGCTGCCCTATCAAGAGGCCAAGGCAGCTTCTTTATCCAACCAATGAAATCAACACAAATATAGAAGGACCTCCTATACTACCACACACATATACAAATGTGCTTCCCAGTAAATCCAGGTGACCACTGTTCTTGGGAATGTATTTGCTGTTTGAAACAAGCCAGCCAAGATTAATCTCAAAGCACCACAGGAGGAAGAGCCCTACAGGACTGGAGAGATGGCTCAGTGGTTAACAACACTGGCAACTCTTGGAGAGGGTCCAGGTTCATTTTCCAGCACCCACATGGTGGCTCACAATTGGCTATGACTCTAGTTCCAGAGGATGTAATACCCTCTTCTGGACTCTGAAGACACCTTCCTATATGTGGGGCACATACATGTACTCAGTCATATACACATACACATAAAATTTTAAATAAAGAAAAAGCTCATACACATAAAATTTTAAAAAACGTAAAAGCTCATAAGAAGGTAGGTAGACACTATTTTAGGATAAACTTCAGTAACACAAATGCCAAGAACAATGCTTGTCCTTTATGTGCTTTTTTTCTGGATATGACAAGACTTTTAAAAAGTTTAGGCATTTCAATGGCCTGCTACACGTGATAAACTGAGCTAGCCTGAAATCCCCTCTGCAGAATGCAACCTTAGCCTCCTCCACTTCTATGTGGGAAGATGGTGTTCCTCTTGGAGTCACACATAACAAATTGAAAGGGAATGGTGGCTCTCTGAGCTGTGGACTGTCTTCCTTCTGCCTTCTGGCTAAGGGCAGGAGACCACATCCCCTCTGCTTACCCACCATCTTGACACTCTTGTCAGCTACACTCTCCCAGAGATGACAAGTCCTCTCCACCTGAGCTTCCTTCTACACTGAGAGCTGTGTAAGTGCCCTCCCCAGCATACCTTCCCACAGTGGAGTGGGCCGGGGCAAGACCCAGTGTCCCCGTGTCCTGTCAACTCCTTGGACTCTTGTTTCTCCTTTTTTGTTTTTGTGTTTTGTTTTGTCTTTTTGTTTTTCAAGATAGGGTTTCTCCGTGTGGCCCTGGCTGTCCTGGAACTCATTCTGTAGACCAAGCTGCTCTCAAATGCAGAGATCCTCCTGCCTTTGCCTCCTGAGTGCTGGGATTACAGGCATGTGCCACCACTGTCTGGTTTTTGTCATTCCCAGTTGCATGAGGACACTACAGTCTTGAGTTCTTGAGGTCTTGATCATCATTTGTGATCCCTTGGGCTCTGCCCAGATCCCCTCTGCAAGTTGTTCCATGTCCTGCCTCCTAATAAGTAAATTATGCTATTGTGTGGAGTGTTGATCTCTCCATTCTTGGTATCCACACTGAAATCCCAAGCTTGTCTTAGGAGAAACACCCATGGCTTCTAGCTCTTGCCCCCTTTTTGATCAAGGTCTTTACCTTGTGTATCTAGAGGCCAGGTGGCTCAGATTCCTTTGCTGTCAGAACCCCACTTGGCTCCAGCTGGCCCCTGCTTCTTCTGCCAGCTCATGTGAGGTTTGCCCTTTCAACTCCTGCCCTGAGTTGATCTTTTAGACCTGGCAACTGGCCACTAAATTCCATTTCCTTCATTTGACCACCTAGGTACCATGAGTTCTTCTGAGTCCCGTCTGTCCATTACTGGCCACCTGGCAAGGGTCCCCTGAGGGAATAACAAAGACTGAAAACCAGGTGCATTTAAGGATGGATTGTGTCGCATCGTCTTGTCTGCCTCCCAGCTTGGGCCTGGTACACAGTGGGGATTTCAGTGATGTTAATGGACTTGAACTGAACTGGAATGTCCTAAGCACCCCTGCTGTGTCTTGCAGTGCTCTGCCAACTGTGGCAAAGGGACCCAGAAGCGAACTGTGACTTGCACCAACTCTCAAGGGAAATGCGACGCATCCACAAGGCCGAAAGCAGAGGAGGCGTGTGAGGACTACTCCAGCTGCTATGAGTGGAAAACCGGGGGCTGGTCTAAGGTGAGAACAGAGTGCTGGGTTTCCATCCCGCCACGGCAGTGTGAGCTAGCATGAGCTCATAATGAGGCAAGTTCACTGTCTTTCCCCACCCCTCAGAACTGTACTCGCTGTTGACCCTGCTTGCATCTCTCCTGCTCTTTCCAGCCGGTCAGCAATGTTTCAGCTTGCTGGGAGCATCCCACTACGATGTGTGCATTTGGAAGCAAATCAAATGCAGCCTAAAGCACATAGTTGGTGTTCCTCAGCATCCCAGCTTCCCCTTGCAGCATGCTTGTGGTACCCCAGCAAACTACCATGAGCCTATCCACATAGCTACCCATCAGGAAAGCCTTGCAAATCTAGGAACTAGGTTGAGAAGACCCATTTCAAGGCCTCAGAAGTACCATTTATTTGGTAAACCAAGTGCTACAGGGAAGAGGCTACAGGGTAGAGAAGGCAGGAGTTCTGGGAGATGTCGAAGAACTGGGGAAAGTTTAAATGGCAATTGAATGTTTCTTAAAATGATGCTTCTTTGTCAAAACCGTGTGTGTATAGTTTCTCTTGTAACCCCCAGAGCTGGGTAAGTGGCGATCAAAGGGTCCTTGAGGCTTGTTGCCAATCAACCCACCTCACCAAATCAATGCATTCCATGCCAGTGAGAAACCTGACCAACGAAAAATATTGATGGCAGATGAAGAACTATACCTAAGGTTGTCTTCTGGCACCTACATCCATGCACACCTGTATACACACCTGCATACTTCACCAAGGCTCTCCAGTATAGTTTTTTATTTTATTCCTTGCTGTTTGAGCCATAGTAGCTTTGAATGATTCCTATTTACCGAGGACTAAGGGCTGAGGCCTGTGTAAGGACTAGTTTGTAGATTGTCCCAAGAGCATTGTTGCAGAGACACTTGGTATCTCATGAATGCAGAGTCTATTGGCTTCTTCATGGTCTCAGCAACTGAAAGCCTCCCTATACTTCCGGAGTCTCCACCCGAGGAGCCCAGAAGCAGCTGCGGTCGCTTGACCTGCACCATCAGCCCCGTAAACATTTCAGAATCTGTTGCTAATGTCTAAAACCATTTTAAAATGATTCCTGAAATTTTGGATTTGGGTCTCACTATAAAACCTGGCAATACGTCCCAGGCAGGCAGTTTGGCTCTGCCTCTGGCAATGGTCGCTCTACTGGAACGCTGTACCTTCAGATTCTGGTACCTGCAGAAATGTCCATGCTATCCATGCTGTCCCCAGCCTACATCTGAGCACAGACCCTCCAAAGGCTTCCATTGCTGAACAATTCAGTGCCACCTGCTGTGCTAAAAAGGCAGCCTGTGGACACCCGTAAATTTGGAGAAGACCAAAAGACCTTCCTTGGCACATTCTGACCAAAGAAATGGAATTAAGGCCATCAGTCCACTACCCCCACCCCAAACAAAATCAATACAACCAACCCCAAGATGAATCTCAAGCAGAAGAAATCCAACATCAAAGTTGTGGCAAAAGAACTCTGCCACCCTTAGAAGCCATGCTCACTGAGTGGAAACAGCAAGTGACAGGTCCAGGGCTCCGACTCCACGTGTGTGTCTCACTCTCCCGCATCTTTGGTCCATATCTCCAAGATGGGGATCACGAAGGCTGTCTCAGCCTCTTTCTCAAAGATGCTCCTGCATTCTGAGGTGTAGATGAGGACACTCTTAGACAACTAGCTCAACTGCCTAAAACATGTCACTCAGTTCACCCCGGGTCCCAAGGCTCTTCTCACCAACTTGACCTGGCCTCATTAGTCAGGCTATCCAGACCCAGCCTGGCCACAGGGAGGCTTGGGCATGAGGCAGAGTGAGCTCTGGGTCACACAAGCCCATCTACATTGAGGAATGCAATGCAGTTGTTTCTTTGCTTTGAACCTGTGTCTAACATCCCATTATTCTCCAGTCTAACAGATAACTTTAGGAGAATGTTTGAGGCCCTTAAAGAGGAAATGAAAAATTCCCTCAAAGAAATGGAGGAAAAGACAAACAAAAAAATGAAAAAAATTAATAAATCCCTTAAAGAAAACCAAGAAAAAGCAATCAAACAGATGAAAGAAACTATTAAAGACTTGAAAACTGAAATAGAGACAACAAAGAAAATACAAACTGAGGGAATTCTGGAAATGGAAATTGTGAGAAAATGATCAGGAGCCACAAATGCAAGCATAAACAGCAAAATATAAGAGATAGAAGAGAGAATCTCAAGTGCTAAATGTTGTAAATAGGAGTGGTGGGCTGTGTTCCTGCTGCCCAGTTCCTGGCTGCTTATACCCCAAAATAACAACATACAAATTGTAATCATTTAAACACTGCCTGGACCACTAGTTCTAGCCTCTTATTGGCTAACTCTCCCATATTGATTCAACCCATTTCTAATAATCTGTATCTTACCACGAACTCATGGCTTACGAGGATGAGTCTAACCTACATCCATCTCAGAGAGGAGAGCCATGGTGTCTGCCTGACTCTGCTTTCATTCTCCCAGAATTCTGTTCAGTTTATTCTGCCTATCTAAGCTGCTGTCCTATCAAAAGGCCAAGGCAGCCTCTTTATTTAACCAATGAAGGTAACATATAGACAGAAGGCCTCCTACTCCAGCTGAAGATACAATAGAGGACATAGACTCATCAATCAAAGAAAACATTAAATCTAACAAAAGCTTAACACAAAATATCCAGGAAATATGGGACATCATGAAAAGACCAAACCTAAGAATAACAGGGAGAGCAGAAGGAGAAGACCAACTCAAAGGCACAGAAAATATATTCAACAAAATCATAGAAGAAAATTTCCCCAACCTAACAAAAGATATGCATATGGAGATATAAGAAGCTTACAGAACACCAAATTTACTGGATTTAAAAGAAAAAGAGTCCCCTCACCACATAATAATCAAGAATGAGGATCTATAGAATATACTGACCTCTGCAGATCTTGGTCATTATACAGGCTGAGTGGCTATGTGTGTTTGTGTCAGAGTTAGCCACCCCAAGCCAGCCACAGCAGGTCTGGCCAATGCACTACCAGCCTACAGGACCAAGAGTGATTTAACTCCATGCAAAACCCAGAGATGCACAATTGCAAGTGTGCATATGTACATAGGGTGTGCTTGGAGCAAGGTGGATCTGAAGGAGTATGGAAGTCATACAAGGGTCATCTCCAAAGCCACCACTTTCTCTGAACAGCCCCCAGGTAGAATGTGTCCATGGTTTTCCTTTTCTGGCTTTTTTGGGAAAGAAATGTAAATAGAGACTGTGCTTTCATTTCCCGGCCACCCAGACACAAATAATCACACAGAAACTATATTAATTATAACAGTTTGCCCTATGGCTCAGGCATATTTATAGCGATCCCTTACATCTTAAATTAACCAGTTTTTATTAATCTATGTATTGTCATGAGGCTGTGGCTTACCAGTAATGTTCTGGCATTTTTCTCCTTTGGCAGCTACATAGTATCTGCCTGACTCTGCCTTCATTCCTCCTCTATCTCTGCTTGGATTTTCTGCCTTGCTATAGTCTGCCCTGCCATAGGCCAAAGCAGATTCTTTTTTAACCAATGGCCATAAAACATATTCACACCATATGGAAGGAAATCCCACATTAGTACAATTCCCTCTAGGGTCCCTGAACTCGCTCTCCAAGTTACTGGAACTATGAATGTGGGTGCCATGGGATGGACCTTCCCCATGGGTTTTCTGTTGTTCAAACTGGACCTATTTTAGGACGGAAGTGTCCTCTCTACCACCCCACTTCCAGGGAGTGTTGCTGTTTTGCCTGTGGAGTCTGCTGCATTTTCTAACCAATTGCTGTGGACTATTTTCCTGTGACTAGTAAGCAAGCAACCTAGATGGGGATTAGAAAACTAGCAGTCTGGGCCCCCATAATTGGTGGGAGGCAATGCCTGCACAGCCAGTACAGAGAGGAGGCTGGGACTGGGGCTCTCAGAAGGTATGCCTTCCTACCCGTGCAGTCTCAGGTCACTTCCACCCAAGTGCTGTGAGAACAGCTAGCCTCTTCCAGATCAACATGGTGGATGTGATACCACAGCAGGTAAGGGACAGACAGATACGACATGCAGAGAGAACTTGGGTATGGAGAGTTTATTTAGTGGGTGTTTGGGGGATAGGGAGTGGTATGGGAGGAAAGAGAGAAAAGGGAGAGAAATAGACAGAGAGAGAAAGGAGAAGAAGGGAAGGGGGAGATAGACAGAAAGCTGCCTCTTCAGAAGAACAGCGGGCAGAGAGAGACAGAAAGGTACCAAAGAGTTTGCCTCAGTGGGGAGACAGAAAGAGGGGGAAGAGGAGAGAGAGAGAGAGAGAGAAAGAGAGAGAGAGAGTAGTGGACATAGCTTGTCTCTTTAAGGGACAGGGTACCCAGGTCACAGGGCAGGTCAACATAAAAATCGTAACACTCATTATAGAGAAAGCAGTTACTAAGTGTCTGCAAACAGTTCGAGCAGACTCATGGATTGAGCCACAGCAAAAATAAAGCCTGAGGAGTTATCATTACAAACATGAACATTCACCTGTACCAAGACACACATTTCCTGGCAGGAAAGAGAGCAAAGGGGAAGAAGAGACTGTGGGCCTGAAAGCTGGTTCTGGAACAGGAACGTGAATACTCTTTCCTCGGTCCTATTGACCTCAGACCACCACCATAAGAGAACTGGATAGATAAGGATGGGTGGAGCCATTTCCAGCACAGGAGAAGTACTTAAGTCCCTATTTAAAAAAGAAAACAAAGGAACAATTTTTTGAAGCTGTGACAATGATAATTTCAATTATCATGTTTGAAAAAGCTTTAGCAACCAGTACTTATAACTCTTACCGAGACTACATTGATAGCTTATCAGCATTCCATCAGTTAATATGCCAAACTTAGAACAAGTCTTAATAACATTTGTATCATCTTTAAGTTTCATTTTTCAAACACCTTATCACTTCCTCAGACATTCACAACTTGTAGAAACCTATTTTTTTTTCTTTTC